GTGTTTGTGGTTATTTTTCCATATCCAAGTTCTGCATGCTATCAGGAATATCCAGACAATTTATCTTGCCTTTTTGAAGGGATGTACGTGTTCATACAAGAGTACACACCATATCCATAGAGATACTGATGACTTTACTGGTTCCTAGCTATGGTAGGCATGGATTTGTATATCAGTCATTTGTTGCTTATTGGAAAATCATGGCTGGAAAATTTGTCATTTTATGCCCTATTAATCATCTGATTTTAAAGAGCTAAATTATTATTAGAGGTGTTTTTTCTCATTCGAGTTTCAAGATGGAGAAGTTGTTCTACTGCATTGGTCCCTTAACATTGTGTGCCTGTCTTTGGTTTTGACAGCTGGATTTTATATATGCTGGGGATGCCTAGTGTGGGTCCCATCTGTCTATACCTCTCCTGGAATGTACCTTGTCAACCATCCGGTTAGCTTGGGTTCTCAGGTAAATTCTAAGAAATAGATGGTGTTTTGTGAATCTATTGGACAATTTTATGAGAGTAACTCGCTTGCAAAAAAGTAATATTTGATGGCAGTAATGCATTGTCTGCCATGCTTTGCTTTTTGACCTTCTCTACTTGCATAGTTCATGTTTGATGATGTAACTTCTGATCTTCTAAAGTTATTCCTATGCTGATGATTATCTCATCCAAATTCTAACCAATTTTGAGAACCAATGCAGCTCGCTCTTATGATTCTTGTTGCTGGCATTGGATGCATATTTATCAATTATGACTGTGATAGACAGAGGCAATACTTCCGCAAAACAAATGGAAAATGCGTTATATGGGGAAAACCTCCATCAAAGGTGATAAGGCTACTTTCATTTCTAATACTCATCAATTATGTTTATGTAATATTTATTGTTGCATTAATAGTCCTAGTGAGGATTTTACTAATGTTGATTCTATGCAGATAGTGGCCTTCTATCATACGAACACTGGGGAAAAGAAATCCAGCCTTCTCTTGACATCTGGCTGGTAAGACGAGGAAAAAATGACTTTACATCATACTACTTATTCAAATCCATAGTAGCTGAAAATGATATATTTTGTTTCTTTCTAATGTCTGAACTTGATATTTCTTATGCAATTTATGTTTGCAAAAAGCCTTGTCATCAGTTAATTTGTGAATCTTCTGTCTCTGACTTATATAGGCTCTTACCCAGTACCATATTAATGGGACGGCTCTTTGAAGATACTTTTCATGACTAGAATATCGACTTTAAAAACCTTGGGAAGATAATCCTGGTCCTCCTAGATTAGTTGTTTTTAGAAATAAACAAGGATTTGGCATTTGTTGTCTTTGACTAGGAATGCTTTCAGAAGTTATTCTAATTGATTTTCGTTTGTATTAAGTCAGTTGATGCCTTTTGACTTGAACATAGGGCTAGTTTATTGTGAGCCAAGTAAATTCTCCTTCCTTGGAACATCGTAGTAGTATTTTCAAAAAGTTAGAATTCACCTTTCTAACTTCTTTTTTCTTTTCCCGTCTTTTGGAGAGAACAAGTTGTATCATTGGAGTTCACACGTTGCGATGCATGCAGGTGGGGTTTGTCTCGACATTTCCATTATGTTCCGGAAATATTGGCAGCCTTCTTTTGGACTGTGCCAGCTCTTTTCAATCACGTAAGGAGCATCTAATTTATCTGCTTGTTTTTACTTTGAATTGATATTGCTATGACCTGATATTTCTTTATGTGCTGGAATCTGATTTTCCTTGACATGTTTTTTTCTTGATCTTTCTTTGTGACATTTTCAGTTCCTGCCCTACTTCTACGTGATATTCTTGACAATTTTGCTATTTGACCGAGCTAAGAGAGATGACGAACGATGCATGGCCAAGTAAGCTCTCGCCAATTAGTAAAACTTCCAAGAAATTTTGAGTTTTGCTTTCCCAAATCAATTTTTTTTTTTTGATATCTCAAAATAAAGGAAGGGAGTTTTAGCTTTTCCTTAACAAAGACAAAAACATTTGTGAAAGGTCTGTTGTTTGGGTATATATACAGCGTTAAGGATGGAGATATAATTTATTTGTTAACAGGTACCAGAAATACTGGAAGGAGTACTGTGACAAGGTGCCTTACAGAATTATACCTAGTATTTATTGATGCTTTTTTAGGTATCTGTAACCTAAGTGATGGGGTATGTACGATTTTTGATGAATTGGTTGTAAGTTTTAGTAACTTATAAATTGTATTCTGTGAGGCCCTTGTTTTCTCTTCAAATATTATATGCATCTTTAGGTGAGAGAGAGAGAGACTTATTTGAGAGAGGGAGAAAGAGAGATGGATTGTCTTGTTTACTTTCGGAAAACTTATTTGAGAGAGAGTGGTTTATGTTGTAGAGAGAGATTCCCTTTTTGTGTGTGTGAGAGAGAGACTGTGTTTGTCTGTATGAGAGGGAGATTCCATGTGTATGATGGGGAGAGGGAGAGGTTCCCCATGTGAGAGAGAGATTCCCTTTCCCGTGTGTGAAAGAGGGAGAGAGAGCTTCCCTGTTTGTGTGTGTGAGAGCGAGAGGAGAGATTCCCTGTTTGTGTGTGCATATGTAAGAGAGATGAGAGAGAGAGAGATTTTCCCTGTTTGCGTGTGCATGTGTTACACATCCTCCTGTGTGTGTAAGAGAGAGAGAGACTCCCATGGTAACATTTTGTGTATCTCTTCTAAGGGATATTGAAATTCGACCAATCAATGAAGAAGGGGCCATTTTTTTATTCGTTTGGTTAGATGTAAAAGAATTGCAATGTTGGATTCCAGTTGACTTGGGAGTCAAAAACTTCCAAAAAGTTGTGAATTATCAAAATGACAGACTCGACTAGGGCTGTTCATGGGTCGGGTTTAGGCCAAGCAAAGCTTGGGTAGTGTTCAACGAGGAAGTTGGATTGAGCTGGGCCAGGTCGTTGTGTGAAGCCCTGCCTGCCATTTTGAAATTCTGTAAAATAATTGTCATTTTAACATTGCATTTTTAAACCCCACCATCTTAGTTAAAAAGACTTGTCTCTCCTCTAAAAGTTTCATCGTCTGCAAACAAAGTGGAAGGGAACACATGAACTAGAAAATGATAATCCTGAAAGGATCAAAGAAATATACATTACAAACACGAAACAAAGGGCTAAATCAGCTTGTTTGGACTTTTTGGAGACAAAACTTCAAAGTGTTTGAACTCTATGTCTATCGCTAAGCCAAATCCAAGGGAACACATGAACTAGAAAATGATAATCCTGAAAGGATCAAAGAAATATACATTACAAACACGAAACAAAGGGCTAAATCAGCTTGTTTGGACTTTTTGGAGACAAAACTTCAAAGTGTTTGAACTCTATGTCTATCGCTAAGCCAAATCCAAGGGACAGCTCATTAGAAACACAAGCACCAAGAGAATTTGACCGGGTAATAGGAGTACATTCTGCTCCCTTTGCGTCCTAAAAAGCTATTTGCAATGCGTCCTAAAATGCTATTTGCAATGTCATGTTATAGACAATTTTGCTTTAGAACCTGAAATCCAAACCTTACACTGCACTCGGAAACCGATAAAAGTACCCTAAAATTAATCCATCAGCCTAGTGAGTTGAACACCATCAAATAACAATCTATATAGAAACCCCGGTGTATTGATTTTTGATGAATTAAGCAATAAAACCAAACCCTTAATTTGATGCATATTAGTGAGAAATCCATAAAAATGGCCATTGACCATGAAACTAGTGGAATTTATAAACGAGCTTATGCCAGAATTCCATCAATGCATAATGAGCCTTTATAACTTCATTATCATTTAAGTTTTATCCAAACTATTTGGGATCTTCTACATGAATTTTATCTACTAAACTTACAACATTGGTTTATGATTTATGAAATAAATATAAAGTTTTACACTTGCTATCAACCTAACACAATCCTCTTCCTTTCTCCAAACTATTTCGGATCCAAATTGATTCACAAACTATGGGAATAGAGGAAATCATTCCGACTCTTCAATCTTATTGAAATAATCATGCAAGAGCATGCATCTGATGTTAATATAAATAGAAAAAATAAAATTACCGGTGTGGTTGGTTTCCTTATACACTGGACGTGCTGATGTTTTGCTGTTTTGTGTACCAACACAATTACAATAACAAGAGCTTCCTCACTTAGGAAAATCTTAAAATCACATATAATTACTTTCGTATTGCCACGTCCAGTAAATCTCAAAATAACTACGCAAACTCCAATCAATAAGTGGCTATTCAGAAGAAATTACTTGTTTCTTTGCATATCCAGTAATTATCAATGTGTGACTCATGTTATTGTTCTAGCTGTTTTTTCCAACTAGACTCCACTATTTTTTTCTTCGGGAAACATTACTATTCCTTTTATTTAACTGGGTGACACTAGTACTATATCTACAACCATTAACCATTCAAGCTGACGGCACGGATTGCTTCAAAACAATCATGTGTGGTGGTGTGCTTGCTATCGACACGCGTACACAGAGGTCACCTACATGCATGCAGAGAGAAGGAGAGAGAAAGAGTTCAACACACCAGCGTGGTTGATGTAAAAAATAACATCAGAAAAAAATAAAAATAAAAAGGTTGATAAAATGTACTTTATCTCAAGATCTGTAAGGGAATTCACCCCATGATTGAGAGAATATACCCTCTCTTAAGATCTGGGAATCTACCACAAAATAATTTCTTCACGAGACCAAATTTTATTAACTTATCTATCTCTTTTTACGATGAAAGGAAACCTCTTTTTAAATAGACTAAAAAAATAAGATAAACATTAACAAGAAAATCTTTTTCTGCACTTTTCCTATTTTATCTTTTCTTCCCTATTTTCTCTCTCTTCCCTTAACCTCACGTACAATCCCTTTTATCCAAAGCCTAAAAACTACTTTTTATGTAACCTTAATTTAACTTTATCTATTTATATTCCAAACTAAGTAACACAAATCAATCAATAACTAATTAACCCAAATCCATAAATATCAACTCACACATAAACTCAATGCCTACAAATATCCCTGCGCACCTCCTCTCCTTCTCATGAAGAGATAAACTAAAGAATAATAAAAAATTAAAATAACCCTAATATTATTTGCATCATTCTCCCCGGGTTGGGAGAAACTCGACCTCGAGCTCAAAAGTTGGTGATGAAGTCCCACCATGAGCCTTAATACTTTTTCTTCAAGACTGATGCCTGCAACTGTGTTCCAAGAGTAATTGTTGAATACGAGCTTGGGCTGATTATTCCTATTCCGGAATGAGTCTAGCTCCAAAAAAACACCAAGTTCAACCGATGAACACGCTTGACTATGAAATTTTAGGAGATAGATTTTAATGTCAAAATCTCGTGATCATTTTATAGGACGTGTTGGATCTGGCTGCTGTATAGAACACGACGAATCTAGCTTGTTAATTTCTTCTTTACGAGGAAGATTGTTCTCCAACCGCTGTATCTCTTGTTTCTTCTCACGTATTTTAGTTCGAACATCCTCTAGGATGTTAGAAAACTTTTCTATAGCTTGATCCCAATCTTGTTCACAACGATCATCTATAGCAGATCTAACTTGCTTTGATCTAGCTTGGTCTCTGTAGATCTAACTTCTCTGGATCTAATTTGCTCTCTGGATCAACCTGGCTATGATATCAATTGATGTAAATAAAATAATACAAAATAAAAATAAAAATAAAAGATTAAGAGGATATACCCTATCTCAAGGTCTGCAAAGGAATTCACCCTAAGGTTGAGAGAATATACACTCTCTCAAGGTTTACAAAGGAATCTACCCCAAAATAGTATCTTCACGAGACCAAATTTTATTAATTCATCTACATTTTTTTACAATGAAAGGAAACCTCCTTTTAAATAAACTAAAAAAATAAGATAAACATTAACAAAAAAAAAAACTCTCTCTACACTTTTCCTATTTTATTTATTCTTCCCTATTTACTCTCTCTTCCCTTAACCTCAAGTACCATCCTTTTTATCCAAAGCCTAAAAACTAGTTTATATTTAATCTTGTCCTTTTACATTTCTAAATTAGCTCCCTTAATTTAACATTATCTATTTATATTCCAAACTAAGTAACCCAACTCAATCAATAACTAATTAACCCAAGTCCATAAATATCAGTTCACACACAAACTCAATGCCCACAAATATCCCTACGCACCTCCTCATCTATTCCTGAAGAGATAAACTAAAGAATAATAAAAAATTTAAATAACCCTAATATTATTTGCATAAGTGGTGGTCAAAGTTGTTCCCCTCATTCACATTTCTATACGATACCATGTCTCTTTTACCTAAGGCTTCTTCTTAACGTCCAAAACCAGATCTAAATTTCACTATAAATAGGGGTGCTCTCCCCCATCTCTACACACATCTCTTTCTCCCATAAACTCTCTCTCTCTCCCCTCCTTAGGGGCCACACCACTCTCTCTCCTTTCAAATTTTCTCTCTCTAATTTCTCTCTCTAAAAGTTTCATATGACGTATTCTCTCTCTAAAAGTTCTATAAGAGGCATGCCCCAACCCTAGGTCTACTACTCTCTCTCTTGACCTAAAGATATTAACCCTAGGTTTACTACTCTATCTCTCTTGACCTAAAGATAATAAGGGTTTGGAAAATCAGGGGTAAAGCTTTAGTTAATTTTGGGGTTAGGGTTTTGTAGAGATTTAATGATAGTTATCTAGTTTGGCCGAAATTAGCTTTCACGGTTCGAGATTGAAGCTAGACCGCTGATCCCGTGCCATTGGATGTGGTGACTTGATATGGGGTGTAATAAGCCCGATTGAAGTAATCTTCAGTATCTTCTCTTTTACTGACTTGCTCTCTTTTATTTTTATATTCTCAAGCATAGTATTAGGTTGAATAAATGATATCAAGTAGGTGAGTTTTATTTTATTGTTGTGCTGTTTTATTTTGAAATATTTATTAGTTATAATAAGACTATATATAAGTGACCTTTTTGTCAAAATAAAAAAAAGTGATTATTATCATTAATAAAAAAAAAAAATTGTATTCTGTGCCAAAATATCACATAGGTCTTCCTTTAATCTCAAGCATAGGGCGATCCAAGTGAAGACCTTTATCCATGGAGGGGGTCCAGAACCTAGCAATGATGGACCGTTGGGAGGGATGAGCAGCAGGGGGAGGTGAGAGGAGACTGGGAAAGTCCCTGATGTAGCCGGACTCCAAATGATTTGGTCCTCACCATTAGGTGAAAAGTAAAAGGAGTGGAGAATAGAAGAGAGTTC